TAAACCAAATATGAATAGTTATTCACTATTGCTAAAGAAATTCTCTATATTTAATTGTTTTTTTTATCAAGTTGTTAAACTTAAAATACACTTCTTAAGTGAGTTGATAACCTTTGAGTCTTCATTTTCAATACAGGTAGATTTAATAATAACAACCTTATACTATACTAGGTTCATTCTTTTTTTGAAAATATAAATCATATCTTTGCTTGTTGGTTAAAGTAATTCTTCTTTTCTTTTGAGCTTTGCTATTACTATTATTGTTTTGTCACTTATTTGTATCAGTATCCATTACTGCACTTGTTAAATAAAAGACATGAAAATTTTAATTTTTTTTTATATTATACTGATTACAATATTACACAAATGCTTCATTATCTCATTTAATAATTCATTATATAAAGGTATTCATTATAACAAGTTAATTTTGTTATAAACAAAAAATAAATTATTTTGTTATAGGTTATATGTTATAACAAAGTTTTATAATTTAATTCATTATATTGAGGTTAATTTATTAATAAAAAATTTTAGCTAGAAAAAATCTTCGTTATAATGCCATATTCGGTTTATCGATGTTATACTGTAGTAGTAAATATGACTTATTTTTACAAAACTTGAACAATAATTTTTCATTCTTCATATTGTCCAAAGAAAATTAAAAAAAACCATAAATTATTCACTTCTGCCTTGTGCATAGGATATTGGCAAATTGTCCAATACCAGTTAGAAGGCTGTCAGCAAATAATATTAAAACCGAAAAATCCAAATAAGAAAACAATGAAAAAAATACAAATTGAAAGACTGAGAAACCCAGATAAGAAAACAATGAAAAAAAAACATAAATTGACAATCTAGTTGGTGAAATTAGGCAACTGCAGCCGAATACAAGTCTTACACCATGAGACCAGTGACCTTAGGCATCAGAAAATTGACCTTAATATCTTACCAAACTGCACTGGTAATAAATAGCAAACTTTTAATTTTAATATAAAATTGTCTTTAAATTTTATTAGTCAATCGCAGTTAGAAATAACTAATAACATTAACTGCTTTTATTTATTTACTTATTTAAATTGCTTTTTTAAAAAATTTAGCAGCTTTAAATAACTACCATAAATTAATGTTTTTACCAGATTATCAACTTTGAATAAAATATACACATTCATGAAATTTTATCGTTGGCTATAGAATCAAAGTATTTATAGATTAATGAACATTCTTATATATTAATAAATTAAAATTATCAAATACGCACATGAAATATCGTAATTACATTCATCAGAAATTGAAAAATCGAGTGTAGAAGAGTCTAAAAAATTAAAATATAAAAATTTTATCGATTAAAATTGAAACATATTATAATAAGTGAATTATTTACCACAAATCTTTAATACTTCTAAAGGTGGAATAAATGATGAATTAATTGGCTCAGTAAGGTTCTTAAAGTTAAGCAGTTTACTTGTAAGTTTATCCTTAGAGCAAATGGGTAATTGGGTTGATAATGTTGGAATAATTCTATCTGCTGATTGAAATGCTTTTAATATTGTCGATTCATTTTTATATTCTACTATATTATACCATCTTAATAATTCATCGTAAATATAAGATACAGATGGTCTACTAGAAGGATTAGCATCCATACATTGATTGGCTAATTGAATATAGCATTCAGGTGTGTCTTTAGCAAATTCTGGACGTAATCCGTTACATATTTGAATAGCCAACGCTTCATCATACTCAATATCATAATGAGGTGGTCTTCCTGTAGACATTTCAGTCATAATAATACCAAAACTATAGATATCCGCTGCAATTGCATATGGTCGTTTATTTAACACTTCCGGGGCAACGTAAGGTAAAACACCATAAATACCATCTTCTAAATCAGATTCATCTTTCTTTCTAGATAATCCTAGGTCTGCAATGTAAGATATTAAATCGCCATTAAGATGTTGATGTTGCAATATATTACCACTATGAAAATCTCCATGAATGTATTCTGCCTCATGTACCTTTATTAAATTTTTTGATATATCAATAAGTTGCTTTAATTTATATTTCCAATTAAGCTCTCTAAAATTTGATGATAGGAACTTACGAAGGCTTCCTTTATTTGCATTTTGGAATACTATCATATATTCATTAGTGGTTGTGTTTTGAGTAATCCCATACACCTCAAAATTATTACCTAATAATCTACATTCTATATAACTTTTAAACTTGTTAAATAAATAGAAATTATAACGTTAATAATTTATCTAGATTAAGTCATAAATAAATCATTTTAACTTACTTCTCTTAAAAAATTCTTTCGTAAACCAAATATGAATAGTTATTCACTATTGCTAAAGAAATTCTCTATATTTAATTGTTTTTTTTATCAAGTTGTTA